TATATGTGTATATATATATATGTGTATATATGTGTATATATATATATATGTGTGTATATATGTGTATATATATATGTGTATATATGTGTATATATATATATATATACACACACACACACACACATACATACACAATGGAGTATTACTCAGCAATCAAAAAGAATGAAATCTTGCCATTTACAACTACACGGATGGAACTGGAGAGTATTATGCTAAGCGAAATTAGTCAGAGAAAGACAAATATCACATGACTCCACTGATATGAGGAATTTAAGATACTAGACAGATGAACATAAGGGAAGGGAAGCAAAACTAATATAAAAACAGGGAGGGGGACAAAACATAAGAGACTCTTAAATATGGAGAACAAACAGAGGGTTACTGGAGGGGTTGTGGGAGGGAGGATGGGCTAAATGGGTAAGGGACACTAAGGAATCTACTCCTGAAATCATTTTTGCACTATATGCTAACTAACTTGGATATAAATTAAACAATAAATTAATTAATTAATTTAGAAAAGGTAAATAACAACAGTAAAAAGGAAAAAGAAATAGCCAAAAGAATATTGAGAAAGAAGAACAAAGTTGGAGGCATCACACTTCTTGGTTTCAAACTATATGACAAAATTATAGTAATCAAAACAAATGGTATAGGATGCCTGGATGGCTCAGTCGATTAAGTGCTGACTCTTGATTTCAGCTCAGTCATGATCTCACGGTTTGTGGGATGGAGCCCCATGTAGGGCTCCACACTGGGCATGGAGCCTGCTTAGGCTTCTCTCTCTCTCTCTCTCTCTCTCTCTCTCTCTCTCTCTCTCTCTTCCTGGCCCTCCCCCACTGGTGCACATTCTCTGTCTCTCAAAATAAATAAATAAACTTAAAAAAATGGTATACAAACAGGCACATAAACCAATGTAATAAGGAAATAAGGAAGTATACCCACACATATAAGGTCAACTATATATATATATATATATATATATATATATATATATATATATATATATACACATACCTCCTACCATTTACGACATGGATGAACCTGAAGGGCATTATGCTAAGTGAAATTAGCCAGACAGGGAAAGACTTCATGGTATCATTGAAATGTGGAATCTTATTTTTTTTTTCAACGTTTATTTATTTTTGAGACAGAGAGAGACAGAGCATGAACAGGGGAGGGGCAGAGACAGAGGGAGTGGAATCCTATTTTAAAAACGGGGCAGGGGGAGGAGCGCCTGGGTCGCTCCGTCGGTTGAGCATCCGACTTCGGCTCAGGTCGTGATCTCCTGGTTTGTGGGCTCCAGCCCCGCATCAGGCTCTGTGCTGACAGCTCAGAGCCTGGAGCCTGCTTCTGATTCTGTGTCCCCCCCTCCCCTCTGCCCTTTCCCCGCTCGTACTCTGTCTCTCTCTGCCTCTCAAAAATAAAGAAACATAATTAAAAAAATTAAAAAACAGGGCAGGGGGAGAATTTCATAGAAACAGAGAATAGAGTCCTGACCATCACGCTCTGGGGAATAGGGGAAATGGGGGGATGTGGATCAAAGGGTACAGACTTTCAGTTAAAAGAATACATTCAGGGGTGCCTTGGGGGCTCAGTTGGTTAAGCATCTGACTCTTGATTTCACTCAGGTCATGATCTCAAGGTTCATGAGGTCGAGCTCCACATAGGGTTCTGTGCTGGCAACATGGAGCCTGTTTAGGATTCTCTCTCCCTCTCCCTCTGCCCCTCCCCTGCTCTCTCTCTCTCTCTCTCTCTCTCTCTCACTCTCACTCTCACTCTCTCAAGTAAATAAACATTAAAAAAAAAGAGAATACATTCTGAGGATCTAATATACAGGATGGCGATTATAGATAATTATCCAGTATTGTAAACTGGAAAGTTGCTGAGAATACCTATTAAGTGTTCTCACCACCACCAAAAAAATAAAAATAGTTAACTATGTGAGATGATCAAAATGTTATCCTGATCTTGACAATCATTCCACAATGCATATGTAGATCAAATCATCATGTTGGACACTTGAAATAACATATAATTGCAATTGTCAATTATCCCTCAATAACACTGGAAAGAGAAAAAGAAAGTCCAGAGCCAAAAATCAGAATACTATTAACATGAATTGATTTTTGGTAACATTAATAAGAAAATAAATTGCATTTGGAGCCTTAAAAAAACAATGGTAGATGAGATCTCTCAGAAAGAGAGGGTGTTAGGTTTCTAAGAGGGGCGGGTTTCCCAGGGCCTGGATGGACGTTAAGAGGTAGGAACATCCCCAACGGTGGAAATCCGATTTGACAAGAGTGGGGGCCAACAGGAGAGACTACAGAGGCTGGAGACCATCAAGTACAGCAGACCTCGATCTAACTGCCAAGGTCACAGATTCAATCCGGACTCCTCCCCAGCCTCACCCTGCTGGGGCCCCACTGCAGAAGCAGGAAGTACTGCAGAGACCCAGCTTCCTCTCTGGGTGTTTTGGCACAGCCAGGCCACCCCCTCACTCCCAGGGACCTTCCCACGTGGGCACTGAAGCACTTTCACTTCCCCCAGGTGCCCAGCCCCTTCCCCAGCATATGGGAACAGCGTGGTGTACATTTGTTGTCAAGAACCGGATGCAGACTCTGAGAGAGAGAGGCCATGACAAGGTGCGGGGATGGGGCATAAGCAGAGGAAAGACAGGCATGCTGAGAGAAGGGGCCAGAAACCCAGAGAGGGAGAGGGTAGATGCGGGGAAGGTGAGGTGGGAGGTGTTGGGGGAGGGACACCAGAGACCCAGAGAAGGGAGGACCAGAGACAGAGGGCCAGGAAGAGGGGACAGAGATGGATGCAGAGATGGCAAAGCTTAGCAGGCAGTGAGGTCAGAGTGTCTGTGAGGTCGGCTGCTGTCCAGGGCTGGCCTGGGGCCCCAGGGCCCAGAGTAGGTGGGTGCAAGTAGATCAGGAGTCCCTGCGGGTCCCCCAGCCTGAGCCATGGCGACCTGGGAGGAACTGCCCAACGTGTCCTTGGTGCCCACAAATCCCAAGGCCCCTCAGGTACTGGTGTGTGTCTGAGTGGGGCAGATGAGGGCGACAGGGGCCCAGATAGACGAGAAAGCCACCTCGAGGGTGTAGAGGGAGGGGGCGGGGCTCCACCTCTGGAACTTCCTCTTTCTCGGTGTTCTTCCTTTCTCCCTCCCCCTCTCTCACAGCCTCTTTCTGCCCTTCTCCTCCACTGCTAACACCTCTTCTGTTCGGTCCCTCCCCTCTGGCTGCCCACCCCTCTAGGCGAAGATGTCGGCCCAGGACAGCTGCCTCAGCCTCATCAAGTACCTCCTCTTCGTTTTCAACCTCTTCTTCTTCGTGAGTTGCCACATGGCTACCCAGCCCAGGCCCCAGCCCCTGCCACAGCCACCTGACCTGATATCCCCCCCTCCTTTGCCCACCGCCATATTCTCATCTCCTCCCTCCAGGTCCTAGGCAGCCTTATTTTCTGCTTTGGCATCTGGATACTCATTGACAAGACCAGCTTCGTGTCCTTTGTAGGTGAGGGGGCCAGGGCTCCTGGGAGGGGCCTCCTGGAGCAAGTGTGACCCGGTCTGCCCCTAAGTGACATCCCGGGGTCTCCCTTGTCCCAGACTCTGCTTCACAGCCTGCCCACTGCTCTTAGTCTCAGTGCCTTCCTCTGGCAAATGAGTTGTGCATATGAATACTAATAAAAATGATAATAGCCATTTCTCAGGCACTTCCTACGTGTTAGATGTAGTGCAGATCCTTATCAGATCCTCCCACAAACCTTCCCCTCTCTTGAGGTTCAGGGAGGGGACGTCACTTACTGGCTGTCACGCAGCAAGGAAATGGAAGAGCAGATATAACATTAATAATAATAATAATAGTAGGAAAATAATAATGGAGTGATAATCGAAATACTGATAGCTCACGTTTAATAAGTGTGTGCCCTGTACTGAGGACTGCGTTGAGCGCATGCCTCCCATGTGTCCCTGAAAATAGCACTCAGAAATAGATATCATGCACCCCTACCCCTTGGGAGGTCTAAGTGACAGATGTACTGCCAAGTGATGGGACTGAAACTTTTGGGGGTGAGGAGGGGCTGAAGGAGGAAAGAGAGACTGAGAGCAAGAGGGAGAGACTATGACCAGGGAGAAAGGAACAGAGATCCAGAGAGAAGGGAACAGAGACGTAGAGAGGGTGTTGAGGGGACGGTGACTCAGGAGGAACAGAGTGCCAGAGAGAGGGGTAGATAGCATCCCAGAAGGAGAGGAACAGAGACTCAACATGTGGCAGGGACAGACACGCAGAGAAAGAGCCCCCCCCCCCAATACTCCTCCCCAATTGAGTGGCTGCATGGGTGGGGAATGGGGCTACCTGGGGCTGTGAGCACCGTGCCCAATGTCACTGCCTCTCACCTCCCCCAGGCCTGTCCTTCATGCCCCTGCAGATCTGGTCCAAGGCCCTGGCCATCTCAGGAATTCTCACCATGGGTCTTGCTCTCCTGGGCTGCGTGGGGGCCCTGAAGGAGCTCCGCTGCCTGCTGGGCCTGGTGAGTGCCCTCCCCACACCCCCCTCCAATAGAGCCCCACATCCAAGGAAGGGGCTCAGCCTGATCTCCCCCACTATGCTGCCCCCCCTCCCCAGTATTTTGGGATACTGCTGCTCCTGTTTGCCATGCAGATCACGCTAGGAATCCTCATCTCCACTCAGCGGACCCGGGTGAGCTTGGCTTCCCCTCCCCCCACTCCTCCCAAGCTCCTGTGGGGGACGGGGGGGGGGGGGGTGTAGGGAGGGGGCTGAAAAAGACGGAAACAAAGGTAGACAAGAGCTGACATGGACAAAGAAATAATAGTGACAGGCAGAGGCAGATGGAAAAACATAGGGACGCAGAGACAGACACAAAGAAGATAGAGATGAGGTGAGTCGAAGGAAGACTCAACGACGAGGATGACAGGCACGGAGGAAGAAAGACATAGCAAGAGAGATCCAAAGGGAAATAGAAAAAAAAGAGAAAAACAGGCGGAGAAAGAAGAGGCTCCAAGAAAGAGGCAGAGACCTAATGAGAGATCGTGGGAGACAGTGGGAGAAACAAAGACATGATAGGCAGAGATTTTAAGGAACAAATACATAGCTAGCCATTGGGTGAGAAATCGAGACCAACTTAAGACGCTCAGGGACCTCATGGGACTGAGAAAGCCCAGAAGAGGCTGGAGTGGGCCGGGGCAAATTGGGGGTGGGGAAGCGCGTGGGGATCCGGCCTCACTCTTAGCCCTTAGCTGGAGCGGAGGGTAAAGGATATCGTGATGGAGACCATCCAACGCTACCACGCGCACCCGGAGGAGTCGGCGGCGGAGGAGAGCTGGGACTACGTGCAGTTCCAGGTGGGTGAGCCCCCCCTACCGGGACGTGCATCCTTCCCTGTAGGTCTGGGACTCTGACAGCCCTGTCCCCTGTCCCAGGGAGACTCCACCCCGACCAAGCCGGGGCGCCCAGCTCCAGGACCCTTAGGGTAACCCTCTCCATCCACCCTACCTACTGCGTGGCCCCGTCCCCAGATGGCCACTTGACTGATTCCTGTGCGGCCGTTTCCCCCAGCTCCCAGACCTTGGAGAGGCTCTGATTTGTGCCCTGATAAGAATTCGCCCTCAGCCCCAAGGCCCTAGCGTGACCCCACTCCCTAACCCTGAGTGACTGGCCCTCACAGGACTCGGCCCACGTGAGACTCCACTCTGGCCACTCTCGTGGCCCTGACCTCCCATCCACCTGTTCCCCACCTGAGGTTGAATTGCACCGCCCACCCAATCTTCCATCCACAGCGTGATTCTGCAGCTCCTCCCACAGCCCCATGTCACCCGTGATTGGTCTCCACCAACCCCAAGTTCTTCTAACGTCCCCAAGCCTAGCCCGCGTGTGGTCCATCACCTACACCCATTACTTGGCCCTCTGCTCCCCAACATGACCTCATGCACACCACCCAGTCCCCTGAACGCGCAAATCATTTTGAATCCCTCCAGTCCACGTCTCTCTGACTCTTGTCCCTCTTCTAGCTGCGCTGCTGCGGCTGGAACTCTCCTCGGGACTGGTTCAGTATCCCCAGCCTCAGCAGCAACGATTCAGAGGTGCACCGCGTGCCCTGCTCCTGCTATAATTCATCGGCGAGCAACGACTCCGCCATCTTCGAGAAACTCTCCTTCCCCGAGTTCAGCCGGCTGGGACCACTGGCGCGGCCCCGCCACAGTACAGACCTTTGCCTGGTCCCTGCAAACAGCGATATCTACAGCGAGGTGGGCAGGGTTTGGAGCCCGCTAGGAAGGGGAGGGGCCGGTGAGGGGGTAGAGCTGTGGGAGGGGTTTGCTCCCCAGGAGGCGGGGCCGCAGGACCTGGGAGGAGTCTGCAAGCAGGGTGGGGCTACGAGAAAGCGGCACAACAGGAGGGGTGGAGCTCCTCAGAAGGGGCGTGGTTTGCGGGGGCGGGGCCTAAAAGAAAAAGCATGGCTGAAAGGAGGGTTGGACCGGACGAGGTGGAGACTAGAGAACCCTAGTAACTAGGGATGCGGGGTGGTGCCTGAAAGAGGGGTGAGGGCTGGGCTAAGGAAAACAGTGTGCACGGGGTTGAGGGAGAATCCCAGAGAGGACCCTACCTTTAACCTTTCCCTATATCCCTAGGGCTGCGCGCGGAGCCTCCAGAAGTGGTTGCACAACAACCTCATCTCCATAGTAGGCATCTGCCTGGGCGTCGGTCTACTTGAGGTAAATTGGTCCCGCCCCTATTTGCGATTAGCCCTACAATCCCTAGATGGCTCCGCCCCCAAATCGCGCGCCTTCCCATTCTCCTGGAAAGGTGCAGGCGTGATAGAGCTTCAGCCAATCCAGGCTCTTCTGCCTCTCCGCCCAAGACCTATCTTCTGTGAGCCCTGATTGGTTGTACGCAGGGAGTAGGCGTTCCCGCCTCCCTGGGCGTTCTAGCGCTCTGCTCTTAGCTGCAATATTCCTCCCTTTTCCCTGCAGGTGAGTGTGGCGGGGCTGAGCCTGCTACTACTGCGTAGGGCGCTCTGCCGGGAGCGCCAGCTGCAGGTGCCGGACGCCTATGGTTCGAGCCCCGGTCTTGGTCCCAGGGCTGATGGCGGAGGCGGCGGGCGCTGTGGTGTGCTGAGCAGCAGCGGGCGTAGCGGCGGTGTCTGGGGTGGCTGGGGCATGGCGGACGCCTGTCCCAACTGGGGGGACAAGTCCCCACAGGTCAAGCTGCCCATGGCCCTGGGGCCCTGGCCGCTTTGGGATCAAGACGAGGAACAACCTGAGAACGGGAGCGTGGAGGTGGAGGTCGAGGTGGAACTAGCGGCCGAGGGAGAGGGGGAGACAGATGAGCCTCCGGAATAAAGTACCCTGGGCTATCTCCGGATCGCACTCCTTCCCAGACTCCAAACCTGCGCTAGACGCAGCTGGGCACCTCTACCCCACCCTATTCTTCTTCCCATCCTCCCTCTCTCCCTCGCGTCTTTAGTAACTAACCCCAAGCCTCCAAATTCCCATCCCTGATCCCATCTTTCACAACCTGGCCCAGCTCTCCCTCTAGCCCCACCCACCTTCTACTCCCTTCTCCGCCCCACCCATGACCGCGCCCCCAACCCAAATCTCCTTGCTTTATTTTTATCCCCTGGCCCCACCCCTTTTTCTCCCTCGGGACCCCCATCCTCCCTACCCCCATCACCCTCGCCAACATCCCCTGGACCTCTCTGACCAGGTCTCCTTTCTCTATAGCTCAGCTTCATGACGCTCTCCATATTCCTGTGCAGAAACCTGGACCAAGTCTACGACCGGCTTGCTCGGTACCTCTAGGCCCCGCCCTTCCCAAAGCCCCGCCCTGACCCCTTCAAGGGCCCCAGAGGCTTCCCTGTGGTGTGTAAATATTTGTTCAACCCCTTTCGCCCCAGCCATTGAGTCCTCAACCTCCTCATTTCCCCGGGGACCCAGATGTCTGCCTGCCCATCTGCTGTCACCTCTCCCGCGGGACCTGAGGCTTCTGGTCACCAGCTTCCTGCCCCCAAAGATACCTCATTTCCTTGCCTCATGTGTTGGCCTACCGCACCTCCCACAGGATTATTTTTCGCCCAAACCCCAAATAAATCCCCTGCGTTTTGGTAAAATAGTTTTATCCTCTGTCAAAACACGAACCAACACACTTTGCGGGTGAGGGGAGGCAACACAGCATAGCCCACGTCTTATTTAGAAGAGAGGATGAGATTAAAAGACTCACCCCACTGCTTGCCCAGCTGAGAAAAAGTCACAACCCTAATACCCACTTATAAATATCTCTTGTTATATTAAAAAAAATATTTCCAGGGCCCACCTGGCTCTGCTCCGGCACAGAAAGGGTTAACCTTCAATATTCGATCTTGATCTTAAGGTCACAGGGTGAGGGTGGTAAGGAGAGGCAGGTTGGGAAGAAAGGGAGATGGGGGTGTGCTGAAAGACAGAGGGAGGGACAAACCATATCAAAGCCCCCCCCCCCCCAAAACATCCAGAACCAAGTTGGGGGAGGGCACCTGTTAAGAGACTGAGAAACCAATGCTATACCTCAGGGTTGTCTCACTCCTGTCCCCAGTTCCCATGCTCTGGAGTGATCTGTCCTTTCAGACACCACTGTGAAGTCCCAATATCAGGATCCAACCTTCCAGCTTGCCACCCAGCTTTGTAAGGTCCCCTCTAACAGGGATCAGCGCCCCCTCCCCAAATAAGCATGAAGAAAGCTGGGGGTCCTTCCTGGAAGGAGGGTATTCCGGGCATGAGCCACTTTTGGGGTCCCCTTTCAGTCCCTGACCAGACGGTAAATGTGGTGCTGGGCCCCCCGCTCGCTGGTGGAGACCTCAAAGACGTAGGCAGTGCAGAGCAGCAGCTCCTGGGTGTCTCGGTTTGTTACCACCTGCCAAGGAGGCCAAGAGAAAGGGTTTATGCAAAAAACAAAACAAAGAGGGAGAGTTGGGACCACTGTGCCCTCCCCAAGGTGCCATGGAATACCCAGGGAAGAGGTCCCCACCTTATCACATTCCCCAGGGAGTAGGGAGAAGGGATGCCTGACATGTCAGTTTCTTCATTCGAGTGTTGGCAGTGAGGGGACTCACATGAGATGGCATATCAGAGGTAAAGGAGTCCCACCGGATCATGTTCCCTGAGCTAAGGTTAGGTTCCCTATGGAGGAGGTCCCCTAAACTGAGGATCCACCACGGGATGTCCTCGAGGTCAGTTTCCCCCATGAGGAGGGATCCCCCTGTGTCAGGGTCCCCAGGCTGAGGGTCTGTCGTGGGCACTCCCCACGACATCAGCGCCCCAACTCCGGCCCAGCCCCAGTGCATCACCTGGAGGATGGTGAAGTTCTCCAGGACACTGTTCATCATATAGCGCTCGGGCAGCTGCCGAAGTTTGTGCAAGAAATTCACCAGGTACTCACACATGGGTGAGCGCAGCAGGCGGTACACAAACCTCCCGTCCTCCAGCTGGGCACGCTCCGTCTGAACCAGGATGGGGGCGTAGAGTAGGGAGGACGGTGACTGAGAGACACAGGGGTCACCCCAGGAACTGAGCCCCACTCTGTGCCTCTCCGATGCCATGCCCACTCCCCACTGCGGTCATTTTACCATTGCTCCATCCATGGCGACCCGAGATGGGACCTGAACCCTCAGGTATCCAACTTGGGATCACTGAGCCTGCAAACCAGGGACCCCTCCAGCCTCTCAAAACTGTGCTCTGAAGCCTCAATGACCTCTGAACTGCACTAACCTCCAGGCCCTCAGATACCCTCACATCCTCCAAAGACCCCTCCACCAGGTCTCCAGACTCTATATGACCTCTGAGTTCAAGACCCCTCAAGTCCTCAGCAATCCCTAAGTGTGGCCCCTGAACCTCCTTGCCCTGCAGATCCCCCCATATCCCTAAGAACCTTCTGAATCTTAGCAACTATAAATCTCTGTACCACATGTAACCTTTGAGCCTTCAAAGTAACCCCTACATGCAACTTTGGATTTCAGCATTAGCTCCCAGCCCATGCATTAAGTCCCCAAAGAGGATAAAACACTCCCCCACCCCCACCCCCACCCCACCCCACAGACACTCAAGTGCATGAGCTATTGCACCCCCAAAGTGCCAGGTGGCTCGGTGCTCACCGGCCCGGAATTCTATCCCTCCAGCCTCACCTCCACCTTCTCCACCACCTGCTTGCCAAAGGAGCAGACCTTGGAGGAACAGGTGAGGGTCATGTGCTCCAGGCTCTCGTACTGGCTGCTCACTCCATAGAAACCACCACTGCTGCCGCCGGCCCCTACCTCTTCGCCACTAGGGCCCCAGTTCAGGTCCGCCTGGGGGATGGGGAGGCAGGCAGGCACAGGTGAGTTGGAGAGGAAGTTCCCTGTAAATGGTGGGGATGCCTCTAAAGTGGAAACTCTGCCCTATGGCCTGGTTCCCCCCCATAGCCCTGCATTTGCCCACCTCTCTTCCTTAGCATTCAAGGTCCCTGCTTCTCCATGAGCCTGTTTCTGGAACACACCCACCCTTCCATCAGTATGGGAGAAGTCTGGCTTCCTAAAATGGTCCAATAACTCTCTCTCCAATAACTCCACCCCCAACAAAGGAGCCCTGGAATTCAACTTTCTTCTCTTGGAGGCCCCAACTCAAGAGGTCAGCCCCTTCCAAACCTCCGGTTACTATGGAGCCAGCTACTCCCTAGCAACCAGAAACTCCCTCACAGAGGGAGTTGCTTCATGGCCCTGGGTGCTAAGGCAAGTGGCTACTCCCTAGCAAAGGGGCCTGGGGAAGCCAGACTCCTTTCCAGAACACTCTCCCAAGCCCTTTCAGCCAATCCTCAGCTAAGGGGGCAGACAGTCCATTAATTAGGCCAAGTAGGGCCCAACGAAGCCTAAAACCTCATCACACCAGTGGCCTGAGTTCCTTGGGCGCCTTTTTGGGAAGCACACCTCTTCCTCTTCCTAACCTTAGCTGCTGACCTGACCAGGTCACTCTCTGAGGTGGTTTAGTCCTCTCCTCAGGGCCCTGACTCCATCCACCACCCTGACAATGGCTACTCCCAGCCTTCCCAGCCGCACCCCTGCATCCCTTCAGCTGCTGGGCTTCCTAGGGATCGTTCTCTTCATCTGGGACCTGATAAGGCCTGTCTCAAGTCCTAACACGTCTAAGACCTCGGCAGCACATCCCCAGAGCCGCCTTGGGCCACTACACACTAGAACACTTTATAATCACGCAAAGCTCATGAACTTCAAGCCCTCGGCATGCTTCCTTCTAGGAGACTAGATCATGCCACAGCTCTGGTTAACAAGAGTTAACACCCCCTAAACATCTACGATGTTTATTGGGCCCCTATAACATCAGCCATTATAGTGAACACCAAACCAAGTGGGCCTAAGAAAGACCCAAGATGGACCCTCTTATTCATGATTACATACATAGCACTTGGCATAGGGCCTATATATAGTAAGTGCTCAATAAATGACTGTTAAATAAATAAATGCCTTCACAAAGCCCCTTCCAGTTCCATCAGTCACTTCCTCAAGACCATTCTCTAACAACAGGGTCTGCTAGGGTCTGTCCTCTGTTTAGAGACCAAATTCCATGACTCTTATTTGCTAAGGGACGGGAACCATTCCTTAGCAACAAGGCTTCACGTGGTCAGGTGGGGTGCAGGGAAGCCTGGAAGGTTGCAAGCCAATTCCTAAGTCCACATCAGTCACACCACTGGTTATGGCAAAGTCTAGTGGGACCCGGGGAGGTCCAAGTCCTCTCCCTACGCCTGCACTGGTCCTATCCATTCCTGGCCTGGGGATAAAATTCCTCTGTGTTCCTTGTTACAAGGGGGCTGACACTCTGAGCCATGAGGACTGGTAAGGCCTGAGCTTGTCTCCCTTAGAGCCAGAGGCCATGTGACTTGTGAGCACTTTTGTTTTGGTGGCAGAACTCACCCAGAACTTGACCAGGAAGAAGGCGTGAGGGGGCCCGCGATCGTACAACTCCCGCAGGCCACCCTTTTTCTCAGGGAATTTGTCATAGATCTGCCGGACGTCCACACTCTCGAGGGGGGGCGCTCCAGGGCTGGGGCAGTGCTGGCTGATGTGTACGAACAGGTGCCTCTGGTACTGAGAAGGGTCGGCCATGAATGAGGAGTGACAGATGCTCACTTGCTCAAGCCCATCCCATACTGTACCCCCAGCAACCACTAGCTGTTTCACACCGTCCACCCAGATGCTGGGCCTGACTCCCCAGAACTGTCACCATTCCCTGCTGCCCCCCAATATTTCAGTCCCCAAGCCCTGTCCCCTGCTCTCCATCCCCACTGCCCTGTCCTCTCCCACTCTCACCCCAGCCTCCTCCCTGGCCTCCCAGCCTCCGATCTCTACTCTCCAGGTCATCCCTTACAGACTCCCAGAGCCCTGGACCTCCCCTGCTCACAACCCTTCCGTGGCTCCCCAGAGCACCCAGGACAAAGCCCACACCCCCCAACCTGGAGGCTCTCACAAATAGATGCTCACAAATGTTGAGTCAATGGATGGAAAGATGGATGCATGGATGGATAGAATCCACACAGCCCAGATCAAGACTCCCCATCTCTCCATTCTTATCACTTCTTATCCGTATTCTGAAATTCTCCTACCTTCCCCCATCTTCTCTTTCAATACAAGTCCTCCCTCCATCTTCTAAGGCCCAAGCCTATGCAAATCTACCTCTTCCTGAAAGCCTCGCTTGATCAATCAGATGGAACCTCTCTTTTCTATGGTTCTCCACCACACTCGGGAGAAAGTCTGGGTCCCTTAGCTTGGCAATGCCACGTCCTCCAGAACCAGCACCTGCCCACCTGTCGGCAGCCTCACCAGCCCCCACCATATTCAGTTATTTGTTTTCCTGAGAACTTCATGCTGTTTCTGGAACATAAAGTTCTGCACGTGGTATACTCCCATGTAACCCTCAAAGCCCAACTGAACCGTTGTCATCTCAAGGAAGCCTTCACTAACTTCCCAGGCAGAATGACTCCTTTGTACACCCACAAAAACTGGAGCCTCCCCTATCCCAGCACATATTCATTATTCAACAGACATCTCCTGAGAGACCTACTGTGTGGGCACTATTCTGGCCCCTAGGGCTACCAGGCAAAATTTCTGGCCTCGTGGAGTCCGCTGGCAAAGACAGAAAATTTTAGGGGTCCCTGGCTGGCTCAGTCGGTAGAGCATGTGACTCTTGGGGTTATAAGTTTGAGCCTCATGTTGGGTGTAGAGATTACTTCAAAATAAACTCTTTAGGGGCGCCTGGGTGGCTTGGTCGGTTAAGCGTCTGCCTGCAGCTCAGGTCATGATCTTGCAGTCCGTGAGTTCGAGCCCCGCGTAGGGCTCTGTGCTGACGGCTCAGAGCCCGGAGCCTGTTTCCGATTCTGTGTCTCCCTCTCTCTCTGCCCCTCCCCTGTTCATGCTCTGTCTTTCTCTGTCTCAGAAATAAATAAACGTTAAAAAAAATTAAAAAATAAAAATAAAAAAATAAACTCTTTAAAAAAATAGCTTAAGAGAAAGAAAGAAAAATTTAAAACTCAACCCACAGATAATATAAATCTCAGAGAGTGACAACTTCTTTGAAAAAAATTCCCAAAAATCACAGTAAGAGGGTCAAGAGTGATGGCAGCTGGTATTTTCCATGAAGCAGTCTGGGAAAGCCAATCTGAGAAGACAAGCAAAGGCCTGAGTGAATGGAGGGAGAATGTGGGAACCATCTGAGGAAAACATATTCCAGGTGGCAAGAATAGCAGATGCAAAGGTCCTGAGGCAGGAGTGGGCCTGGTGTGTTTGAGAAAGAGCATGGAAGCCAGTGTGGCTAGAGCAGAGTGGGCAAGGGTATGAAGGCAGGAGGTGAGGACAGAGCAGGAATGGGGGTCAGATTGTGCACAGCCCTGTGGGCAACTGAGAGGACTTTAGCCTTTGCTCCAAGTGAGATGGGAGGGTTTCAACCTGATCTAACTTGGGTTTTACAGGACCACCATACACAGCAATTGGTGCTGTAGCAGAGACTACTATGTGTTCACAAACCCCTGTTCCTTTTCACGCAGCAAAACTACACTTCCCAGACTCCTTTGCAGTTAGGTGTGGCCGCATGACTAAATTCTGGCCAATGGGATGCGAGCAGAACCTGATAGTTGCCACTTCCAAACCAGATCCATAAAACCTCCTGCACAATTCTTGAGTCTCTCCCTTCCACCATCTGCTGGCCAGATGCAGGGAATCCAGCAGCAGATTCTGAAGCCCTAGAAAATGTCAGAACCACAAAATGGAAGGAGCCTGGAATTTCCCGAAATCACTGTGTGGAAGCCTCCTACTGGACACCTACATGGAAATGTTACAGGAGAGAGAAACTTCTAGGATGTTCATTCCCTGAGGGTTTCGGGTTATTTCTTCTAACAGTCAGCCCACCCTGACTAATATGGCATCTGTCTCCATCCTAGGCCAGGAAAAGCTCAGGCCTAGAAACAAGACCTGCCTTTCCAGGTTCCCAGGGTCCACCACAAAGCCTGGCACACAGTAGGCACTCAAAAATGTTTCCCGAGTGAACACGCCACGGCCTGGGGAGTTTCTCTGAGCAACCTAACCATGACCCCCCATGACCATCCAGTCCCTCCATGCTAGTGGTTCTCAAAGTGTGGTCTCCAGACCAGCAGCATCAACAAATGTCTGGGAGAGGGTTAGAAATGCAAATTCTCAAGCCCCACACCAGTCTCTATCGCATCAGAATTTGAAGGTGGAGCCCAGCAGTCTGTGTTTCCACAAGCCCTCCATGTTATTCTGATACCTGCTAAAGTTTGAGAACCACGGCATTATGCTTTCCCTCCCTATAACTCTCTGCATTCCAACCCCCACCCCCCACCCCCCGCCAGTGACTATTCTAAAATTGCACTCACAGAGTCGACTGCATCCGGCGGTTCCACAAAGGCTGAGAACTCTACCAGCTGCAATCGGGCAGTGCCCAGGGCCCGAGCCTGCCAGGCTGGGGGTGACGGGGCAGGTGGGGGCAGGGCAGGCGGGGAGAGGGCTTGGGGGGGCTCGTACCCTAGAGAAAGAGAAAAACAAAGAACAACAAAAATTGCTAACATGTATTAAACACATCAAGCACTCTTCTCTCTTGCCTGCCTCCGCTTAGAAGCTAAAAAAGCTACATACTCACTTTCCCAGCCTCCCTTGCAACTAGAGATGGCCATGTGACACAGTCCTGGCCAATGAGACGTTAGGGGAAATCTGCTGAGGGGCTTCTGAGAAGGAGTTTCTTCCTGAATGAAAAAGACAGAACTTTGGGAGGAGAAAGCTTTTGGCCCTGGTCAAGTGCTGCTTGAGACACGATGCCTGGAATCACAACAGCCATCTTGGGACAATAAGAGGCCAAAGGACCTATAGAGATGCCGGGTCTGATATTGCTGAGCTGCTGAGCCAGCACAGGAGCACCCACCTCCAGACTCCTTGTTAGGTGAAATCATTAAAGCCTTTATTACTTAAGGCACTATTAACTTGGGCATTCTGTTACTTGCAGCCAAAAGCATTTCGAATTGATGAATCTGTGGAACCTGAGAGTTCTCTTTCACCAGTGTGAGTTCTTAGGACCATAGCATCATGGACTTCCGGAAGCCGTCTTTCTTGCCAGGTGGGCAGAGCCTGCCTGGGAATGAAGCCACCACACACCACAGGGGAAAGCAGGACCAAGCAAATCTGACACTACCACTTGAGCCCCTGGATCCAGCCATGCCTGAAGCCACAATTCCTGAAATATCAGTTGCCTAGGCCAACAAACTCTTTTTTTTTTTTCTTAGCTTGATTTGAGTGTCTGCCACTTGCAGCTGGAAGAATCTTGACGAATACACCTCCTCAACGTCCTTTAGGTAGCAAGTGGCAGAACACAAACCCAGCGTCTCCGGATTCAGAGGCCATGATATTAACCACTACAAATTCTATCACTCATCTTTCCTCAGACCTGGACCTATACAGAAATGCGTTTCCTGATTAATGGAAGGGGAAGGAAAGGCAGCTGGGATTGAGGAGAGCGGGGAGACAAGGAAGGTGGAGAGCAGACTCTTACCTGGGAGGTCAGTAGATGGGGGGGTCAGTGACAACGAGAACGGCGTCTGTGAGAATGGCTTCACACTGAGGGAGAAAGGAAGCTGGGGGTCAGCAAGGTAGAAAGATGGTAACTATACAGGCTAATGTTTACTCGGGTACACCAAAAGCCAGACCCTATAGTAGCATGTTATGGGCAAGAGTTCACTGAATCGGGGCCCCTGGGTGGCTCGGTCGGTTAAGCATCTGACTTCAGCTCCGGCCATGATCTCGCGGCTCGTGGATTCGAGCCCCACATCAGGCTCTCTTCTGTCAGCTCAGAGCCCACTTCAGATCCTCTGCCTCCCTCTCTCTCTGCCCCTCCCCAGCTCGCTCAAGCTCTCTCTCTCTCTCTCAAAAACAAATAAACATTGGGGCGCCTGGGTGGCGCAGTCGGTTAAGCGTCCGACTTCAGCCAGGTCACGATCTCGCGGTCCGTGAGTTCGAGCCCCGTGTCAGGCTCTGGGCTGATGGCTCGGAGCCTGGAGCCTGTTTCCGATTCTGTGTCTCCCTCTCTCTCTGCCCCTCCCCCGTTCATGCTCTGTCTCTCTCTGTCCCAAAAATAAATAAACGTTGAAAAAATAAATAAATAAATAAATAAATAAATAAACATTAACAAAAAAAAAAAGAGCGTTCACTGAATCCTCACAGCCCCCGAGAGCCTGGAGTCTGCCTCAGATTCTGTGTCTCCCTCTCTCATGCCCCTTCCCCACTCTCGCTCGCTCTCTCTCTCTCTCAAAAATAAACACATATGAAGAAATGGGAAATGTGGAGAAAGAGGAGGGTGAGGGTCAGGAGGGTAGGAGAAAACGACCAACGGTCAGGAGATGGGACATTAGTCCAAAGTCTGGGGTGAGGAAGCAGCGCCACAAAATCTAAACGAGTGCTGTCTGATAGAACTTTCCACGATGACGGACATGCTCTACATCTGCCCTGTCCAATATGGTAGCCCCCAGGCACACGTTGCTGCTGAGCACGTGACTCATGACTACTGAGCCCGAATGTGGCTAGAGTGCCTGAGGGACTGACTTTTTTCATTTAATTTAACTTTAATTAACTGAAGATTCAATAACAGGCTGTGGCTAGTGACTGTAGTATCTGACAGAACAGCTCTAGAAACCAATTACCTATGGGTAGCTGAGAAGATGATGGTGAGATTGAAAGGTCAGAGGTCATGGAGACTACACTTGGGGTCAAAGGTCAGTAAGCGGTCACGAGTCAAAAAGACCAGCAGCACCTGGCGGGCTCAGTCAGCAGAGCATACAATTCTTGATCTCGGGGTTGTGGGTTCGAGCCCTACATTGGGTGTAGAGATCACTTAAAAATAAAATCTTGAAAAAATAATAAAAATAGGGACTCAGTCGGCTAAGCGTCTGACTCTTGATTTCAACTCAGATTGTAATCTCACAGCCGTGAAATCGAGCCCCACATCCAGCTCTCCACTGACAACTTGAGATTCTCTCTCTCTCTCTCTCTCTCTCTGCCCCTCCCCCACTCGCTCTCAAACACACACACTCTCTCTCTCAAAAACAAATACATAAACACTTAAAAAAATAAAAATTCTTAAATTTTTTTTAAAAGTCCAGGGGCACCTGGGTGGCTCAGTAGGTTGAGTGTCTGACTTCAGGTCACGATCTCACGGTTCATGAGTTCAAGCCCGGCGTCAGGCTCTGTGCGGACAGCTCAGAGCCTGGAGCCTGCTTCGGATTCTGTGTCTCCCTCGCTCTCTGCCCCTCCCCCGCCCTCTCTCTCTCTCTCTCTCTCTCTCTCAAAAATAAACATTAAAAAAATTTTTAATAAATAAATAATTTAAAAAGTCAAAAGACCGGAATCAGAAAGACACAAACTCCAGGGACCTTCAGATCTCGACTCCCAGGGCCCTTGGCCCAGTACTCATCATCCCAATTCTGAAATCTCAACTCCAGTACCCTACCCACTGACTTCATCTCTTGTCATCAGGGCTGCTGGCCACATGCCACCCCTTCAGAGTGGCCCTTCTTGACACCTGTCTAAATAGAGCACATACACCTTGCTTTACTTCCTGCACTTATTCCTTTCGCATGAATGCTTATTTGTTTACGTGTTTACTGTCGGTCTCCTCCCCTCTCCAAACACGTCAGCTCCATGAAGGCAGGGATTCTGTCTCACTTATGTAATGCTGTGTCCCAATCTAAACGGAGGACCAGGCACTTAACAGGTGCTCAATAAACATCTGACTGGCCGGTGGCTTAATACCTTCTCTCATTTCCTGGAACTCACCAGACCTCAGGATCTTGGCACATGCTGTTTTCACTGCCTAAAATATTCCCAACCCCCCTTCTTCACCTGGTTAAGTCCTACTCTGCCTCAGAGATCTCCTCAGAGATCTCTCCTCTGCCGTTATCTCCTCAGAGAAACCCCCAGAACTCTCTTCCTCAACCCAAAACCTGTTGCAGTCCTCTGCACCATATCACATACTGTTCGATTCTGTGTTTAGGCAGGTGATGAGTTCGTTGACATTTGTCTCCCTGTTGACTATCAGCTCCCCTAACGGTGGGACCCCAGTGCCGACCCACCCCTCCTTCCAGCTCAGCCCCCTTCCCGCAAACCTGCAGTTCCTTCAGCCCAGGGGACCTGTCCTGATCTTTTCCAGGGTCCCAGCACCCCCCCCCCCCCAGGGAACTTTCTTCTCTCCGTGGAGCCCAGATGCCACAGCATGGCACTTCGCTCGCCCTGGCAACACCCTCAACACCACTCGTCACTGTCCTGAGGCCACGATGCCCCACCAACACCCAGCTTCGATCCACTGGCTCCTCTCTGGGCTGAAAACTGCACTTCCCATGAGTCTCTGGGGCCTGTTTCTATTCTGCTAGGCTGGAAACACATTCCGTCACCCTTAGGGCTCTCTCAGGGCTAAAACAGACATTCCCATGTACTTTGGGGACCTATTTTCTTCCTTTCGACTCTGAGAGAAGACTCCTGCTCTCCCCTCAGGTCCAAGAACACCTCTGTGGGATGGGAACAAGCCTACCCATGAGCCTCTGGGGCCCAGAGGGATGCCATTATCCCCGTGGACACCCTCCTGGCCCCACACATTCATCCAGTCCCACAGTGAGCTCCTTTCTTCCCCAAACCTGCCCCTGCCCCAGGACACATATCTCCGGACTGTGCCACCAACCCCAGTCACCAGCAAGACCCCAGGCACGGTCCTTTCCTCTGCCCCTTGGCTCCCAGCCCATGAGGCCCCAGCCCCACCCCTCCTCCTGACTCTCTCTGTCCTGTCCCCCTTCGCTGTGCCAGCTCAGGCCTCATCCTATTCTCCACACCATCACCTCCTCTCTGGGAGGCTAGCTGCAGAATCCGTGCTCACAAAGGAGTTGGGAGCTGGAAGGTGGGGTAAGAAAGGTGTGTGTGGAGGAAACAGGCCTGGGGGATGCTGGCCCAGAACAGAAAGTACTCACTCTGGAACATTCCAGGGGGACCCAGAGCCCCCTGACCAAAACTGGAAAAGCTCAGAGGCCTGAAAAAGAGACAAAAGAAGGGGGTCAGTCAGTCGGTCGGTCCCCTTTTGAAACCGCAGCCCCACCCCTCCCACAATCCCTAAGCCACCTGAGGACCAGCAGGACCCAGTTTGGCCTGCAAGGAAGGTGCTGAGATGAGCTGGGCTGAGGACATGGTGGCCATTGTCTGGAAAGCCTTGTCCTTGGAAACCTGGTCCTGGAGGAGAAGTTGAGGGTCCACATTAATGGGGAGTCCCAGTCGACACAGCAGGGGTAGGTCAATGCCGGGGAAGGGCAAGCAAGGGGAGAGGCAGAGTTGGGGAGTCAAGGCGATTGGGGGAGGGCACAAATCCTTCTTCCTACAGCCCTCTGCCCCGCCTGTACCCCTCAGGAATGTCTGGGGGAAAGGAGCGGAGGGGTAGGATGGGCAGGGGCACTTACCACATTCAAGGCCTGCCCGTGGGGGTGGGGGAGGGTGCCAAAGGAGGAAAGAAAACATGACTTAGGAAGTGAGGCCTGAGTTCTCACCTTCCTGCCCTCTCAATCCCTACAGCTCCACCACCCTGAGCTGAAAAATGGGAGGAAGGGGGAGCAAGGATGAATATGGAACAGGAAGGAGAGAGGGCCAGGCCTTGAGGCGGAAAGGGGCTCCTATACCCAGAATATAAGACAGTACACAGCATGAGGGTTTCTAGGTCAAGAAAGAGCCGGAAGTCAAGGTTTCCGGATATGCAGGCAACAGGAAATGAGAATTTCAGATCCCGAGGGAATAGGCAGCGAACATTCCCTAGCTTGGACAGGATAGAGACAGGACAGCGAGGTCCAGAAAAGACCAGAAGTGAAGATTTTTTTTAGACCTGGAGAGAAAGGAGAGGGAGGCTTCTGGGTACAAAAAAAAGGAACAGGAAGTGGTGGTCCCCAAATCCAAAGGAAGAGGCGCAAACAAAATAAAACAAAACCAAACCCCTCACACCCAGAGGAGGAGAACCTGAGGGTCTCAGACCAAGAGGGAAGCGGAAATCCAGAGAATGAAGAAAAGGGATGTGAATATCTCCAAACAAAATGAAGATTTCTGGACACGGAAACAATAGGCAGGCCAGCCAGGGACCAAAAAAATGGGAAGATGAACCAGAAGGAGACGAAGAGGAGGTTCTCATAGCACAAGATGGGAAGGGGGGACCATCAGGAGGAGAGGAGAGGGAGGGGGAAGATTGCAGTAGCCAGAGGAGAGGCCTGACACCCTATCCTTCTTGCCTGCCCTCAGCTAAATCTCTGTTCCCCTCTCTCTACGAATCTCTTCCCCACCCAGGGCTTCTATCCACCCCCCTGGCTGGGCCACGAACCCCCCACCCTGGATCTCTACTTCCTCAATCTGTCTACCTCTCTGTGTGACTCTGTCCCCATCTCTGGTTCTCTGTTACCCACTCTGGGTCTCCCTGTCCCCCTTTCTCTGGATTTCTGTTGACCTCTCTCTCTCTGGGTCTCTGTCTCCCTCTCTCTGAACCTCTGTCCCTCTTTCTCTTTCTCTCTGGGTCCCCTCTTTCTGATCCTCTGTCCCCCATTCTCTGGGTCTCTGCCCCCCCCTCCCTTGGTCTCTGTCCCCCCTCTCTCTGGGTTTCTGTCCCCCTCTCTCAGGGTCTCGGTCCCCTTCGCTCTGGGTGTCTGCCTTAGTCTATACCTTGAGCTTGGACTGGATTTCCCTTGATTTCCTTCGAGCCAGAACCTGGATGTGGCTAGAGACCTGCGGGGAGTGACAAAGAAGTGGACTCAGGCCACCGCCACTTGCCTCTTGCACGCCCTCTCCCTTCCCACCCTCCGGGTGCCCCCCCGGAGCTACCAGAACATGAAAGATGACAAACACACAGAACACGGTAGCTGTGGCAGGTGCTTGCTGACACAGATGTGTCCACAGAGGCTGGTCTCTTCTCATTAACCCTACTCATCTTCCCCAGACCCAGCAAATACGGTCCAGCTCCCTCTCTAACACACTGGGAAGAAATCCATACCAAAATAGGCACAGTACAGCAAACTAACAGAGGTGCCAGCCAAGACGGACAAAAGCACACGAACCAGATCCCTCTCGAACCTGAACCCACCCATGGTCGGATGGCCCCAAGAAGACAAGCCCGCCCCAGAGAGAAGCCCACAAGTCAGTCCTGAGACCTGTTTGCGGGTTCGGGTCTTCCCTGTTCTCAGCTTGATGTAGCGGGCAATCAGTTCATTCCGACCTGAAGAGTCAAAGATGGGACAGAGTTAGACCTTCGCGGGACTTCCCAACAAACAGGGCACCAGGGAAGGGGACAGAAGCAATGGCTGCCAGCTGGGACGGCCGTGTGGAAGAGGCGTTACCGCCTCAGGCTTTGGAGCCAGACCCGCCTGGGTTCAAATCCCAGCTTCTCCGCCTACTGGTTCTGTGACCTTCGGCAAATCACTGAACCTTTCTGTGCCTCAGTTTCCTCCTTTGTGCAAACCGCGATGCCGGCTCCTGCCTGAGTCCCTGTGAGCATACAATGTGCTTGGACCTTAACGCCATTTAAGGCTCCAGAAATGTTGGTCGTGATCTGTATTAGTCAGTGGGGGCCAAGGACAAAACAGAGGGGGGGACTCACCATACATCTTGCCTTCATCAGACAGGATGATTTTCCGCCGGCCACATGGTGGGTAGATCGCCAGGGCCTCCTGGAAGCTCTGCTCGATGTCTGGACTCCACACGCCTTCTGCGTCTGGGCCCCCATCTCCCCCAGCCCCCTCGCTGCCGCCGGTGCCCTCCTCACTTCCTTCCTCACTTCCTGTCCAGCCACTGCCATCGTCCAGGGGGGCCCCAGCCCGGGGTTCCCCCATCTGGGCCTGGAGGAACACAGAGCTCAGCAAGGTTCCGCAACCACCCCAGAGAGCCTTCAGGGCTGGGAGGGCTGGGAGTTCAGATTGCTGGGTCTGAGGGAGGCGAGGGCTGGGGGCCTGGATTTCTGGGTCTGAGGGAAGCTGGGAGCCGGGATCCCTACGTCCTGCAGAAAGGGGCTGGATTTCTGGGGAAGCTTAGGGGTGAGGGTGAGAGTGTCCTCTGTGTTTCCAGGGGAGCCTGGGTTGTGGCGAAGTCTTGAAGACCCCAGAGTAGGGCCTAGGGCCCATGAGGGCCGAACTTTTGGGTAAGGATTACTGGCTTCAAGAAGACAGGAGTCGGGGCCTAGCTGCAGGGAACCCGGGTGTGGATGAGATCTTCTCAGTCCCATCCCAAGAACAGGTGCTAGGATGTGGACAGCAGCTGCTAGAAAAGAAGGAGGGGCCTAGGCCATAGTAAGATGGGGGGGGGGGGTCCAGAGAGGGGAACAGAGATCCAGTGAGAGGGACAGAGACCCAGAGAGCATGAGACAGAGTCCCAGAGAGGAGGAAACAGAGATCCAGAGTGGGGGGGTGGGGGTGGGGGGGAGACACCCAGAGAGAGAGCAGATAGAGACCCAGAGAAAGAGGGAGACAGACCCAGAGAGGAGGGGACAGAGACCCAGAGAGAGGCGAGACAGAGACTCAGGGCAGAGACTCAAGCCGAGACCAGGAAAGACCCACAGAACCACAAACTGGGGGGCAGGGGCGCCCTGCCATCAGGAGAGCCAGAACAAAGGGCCCCGGCGTCCCCTCCCCCAGTTTCCCACAACCCCCATCAGGGGAGGGGCTGGCCGGCGAGGGCGCCTCCCCTCTGGCCCCCGGCCCCGCCCCTTCCCTCCCCTCCCCCTGCGCCTTGGGCTCGGATCCAACTCAAGTTCCCAGTGACTTTCCGGAGGCCAGGAACAGGGAAAAACTTTTTCCAATACAGTCAGATCCCGCCTCCCAGGCGGCTCCACGTCTCCCACAGTTTTCCCAGGACCCCAGAGTCCAGGCTCCCATCCCCCTCCTCCCTCGGACCCTGAAGCCCAGGCCGAGACAAAGACCCCAGGCCGAGCCCAGTGGCGCTGAGGCGTTCAGGACCCCCGTAGGCCAAAATCCCAGCCCAGCTCTCCCCCATGTGGCCAGACAAAGGGACGAAGGAGCCGGGTAAGAGAGGTCCCCACTAGTTTCCCGCCCCAGGCCCTAAACTTCGGAAGAGGCAAGACTGAAGATCCAGAAAGCACTGTAGCCCGCCCTATGCCACCCCGGGGGCCTCCTTTCTCCATTAGGAGGACCAGGCGCCCGCAAATGACACACGGAAACCAATTCGGTCAGAAACACGCACGGGGTCCTTTCTCACTTCAAAACCACATCGCCGCATACACTCACACCCCCCCCCCCCAGACACACCCGCCAAAGTCCCCGGCCCTCACCCACTCCCGAGCGCGCAATCCCAGACTCAGACCCATCACCAGACACCCCAACTCCGGCGAAAGTTCCAACACCTCACTAAGACTCGGTCACAAGCGCAAACTCGGGGCCCCGGGCAAAAAGAGGGCGGCAAGCAATTCTGAGACGGTCCCACAAACACCTCAACTCATAACCCGTAGCTTCCCACCCCAACTCACACACCCCAAAGCTGGATCCCCGACTCCCGCCGGAGCCTTCCTACCTCCCGGCCTGGGGCTGGGGAGCCGCGGGCGGGCGGGGCGCTGCGAGGGAGAAAGTTGCCCGGGAGCTTTGTTTGGGAAAAGTGGGAGGGACCGGAGGGGGGGGGGCGGGCCCGGGCGCCGGACACAGGGAAGAAGGATCCGACGGTGACAGTTCGCAGGAGGATTTTTGCTTTGGCAAAGGAGAGGTGAAGTCTAGCTTGGGCCCGGTAGGAACTTCAGGCTTCAGATGCTTGCATCCCTGGGAGAGGTGACGGATGGGGGATCCGGACTCCTAGGTCTCGGAGAGGAGGTTGACGGGGGCCAAGAAACCTGGGTGTGAGGGAGGAGGAGTCTGGGGGCCTGGACTTTTGGCTACCACCCTCCAGTGTATTTGTGTGTTGGGGACGTGGAAGTGATAAGAACACAAAAGAATCTTTTCTCTTCAGCCTTAAGTATATCTGCGGTATGTGAGATGGATTTTTGATTGATTTCTGGGACACCCGGGTTTCCTTGTGACTTCAGCAGAATTAAAGAGGTGGGCAAGAGTACTGGGAGTTTATTGGAGATGCAGACTCTTGCTCCACACACACTGATGGACCAAGCCCGGGAGAGACCCTCGGTGCCTGAGCGGAGAGGAGCTAGGGTCCGGCCTCCTGCGTCCTTTAAAGGTGAGGTGTTGGATGTTCACATTCAGGGAACTAGAGGGACCTGTGGTCCGAACTCTGGGGCCCTAAGGCGAAGGGAGCCTGAATTCTGGGCTCCTTGGAAGGTAGAACATAGGACTGGATTTAGGTTTCCAGAGAGGTCGGGGCTTTTCAGTGGAATGGAAGAGGACCCCAGTTCAGCGTCCCTTGCACTGCTCTCTGTGGAGTGCAGTAATCGTTTCAAATCTTGGAGAAGATGAGAAAGAACACGGAGAAACTCAGAGATAAATGCAAAACTAAGGAGTGGGTGAACCAGAATGACTGCTCGGTCTCGGGCTTTCCACGCATTTGGCAGCCTAAGAATGGAACTGAGGGGGCTGGCGGCAAGATCTGGGGCACAGACGAATGGCCCAGGTGTGGGGGGCATGGCTCTAAGTCAAGGGACGTGGCCATCTGAGATTGGAGGGGGACGAGAGGGCCAAAATCCGAGAACACAGGCCACACAGGATCTTGAGGGCCCAGGTCAACCGACAGGGGCGTGGTCTGACAGTGGGGGTGTGGCTAACAAGTAGAGCCGTGGCTCTGCCCTTAAGGGCGTGACCACCCAGTAGCAGGCCTGGCTCGCGGGTGAGGTCAGCGGATGGGGGCGTGGTCAGGCAGTAGGCGCGAGGCTAAGGCTCGCGGAGCTCATCCGACGCTCCAGGTAACCCCGCCTGGGCTCGAGACCAGAACTGTTTGGATTTAACAGTCCGTGGACGGACGGCCGGGGTCTGGGAGTCCGGTGACCGGGCTGTGGTCTAGCATAAAGGCGAGGCCCAAAAGAAGGGGCAGGGCGTGGGAGAAGGTGAGGAATGAGATCTGGGTATGAATGTGGGTGAAGGAAAGGACTGAGAACCCTGTGTAAGGCCAGAAGAGCCGGGCCCGGGAGGAGGGGGAGGGCCCGACGCGATGGAGGGGGTAGGGTGGGTGGACAGGGGAGCGGGGAGATGTGGGGAATTGACTGAGCCTCGGACGGGAAAAGGGTGAAGGTATTGGGTAGAGGGGGTGTGACTGCTAGGGGGCGGGGGCTCGTTGAGGGCGGGGCCTCTGACTCCTACCGATGCCACAGCCTCCCTGCCCGCCCCACAATGTGGCAACCTCTGGTCCTGCTGCTGCTGCTCCCCTCTGCTTTGGTGCCCCCCTCCGCTGCAGCACCGATCCGCGATGCTGATGCCCAGGAGAGCTCTTCGGGTATTCTGGGCCTCCAGAGCCTAATCCAAGGCTTCACCCGGCTGTTCCTCAAAGTGAGCAATGACGAGGGTTGGGAGCAAGAAGTAAAAAGAAGAGAAGAGGGAAGGGGGGGTGGGGAGGATGGAGACTGAGGGATGGAAGGGGTTCGGAGAGAGAGACAGAATGGAAGACGGGTTGCTGCCAGGCCAAAGGACAGACAGGAAGAGAGGGAATCAAAGGGAAAGAGAGATGAATAGAGAGCGACAGGCAGACTGAGTGATAGGAAGAGAGAGAGGAAATCAAGCAGAGAGGGAGATGGGACAGAGACAAAAGACTGGAGCGACAGAGACTGGAGACTCGGAAGGAGAAGGGGATGGGGCCATAGAGACTGTAGGACGGAGCGGGGAGGGGGGAGCATGAATAGGAAGATAATGGGACAGAATAGAGACAGGCCAGATGGGGGGTGGGGCAGAAGGTGACCCGGTTAGGCCCTAAGGGTCAGAAGACAGAGAGAGAAGGAGATGGGAGGTACATGGGGCAAGGCCTCAACAGCATGCTGGCAGGGCTTCAGGTTTACTGGAGAGTCTTGGGGTCCAACAGAACAATGGTTCCCCCCCCCAGGATGACTTTCTGCGGGGCATGGACAGCTTCTTCTCTGCCCCCATGGACTTCCGGGGCCTCCCCAGGAATTACCACCAAGAAGAGAACCAGGAGCACCGGCTGGGGAACAACACTCTCTCTAGCCACCTCCAGATCGACAAGGTGCCTATGCTGAGAAGTCCCTCCTGGAGTCCTCCCATGATCTCTCATGCTGCAGTATCTGTGGGGAGGAAGGCAGAGGCAGAAAGTGCTTTTGCTCTCACTCTCTCCTCCAGTCCTCACAGGTGACAGACAACAAAACTGGAGAGGTGCTGATCTCTGAGCAGGTGGTGGCGTCCATTGAGCCTGGAGAGGGGAATTTGGAGAGTGACTGGAAGGTTAGGACCTGCCCTGGACAATGTGTCCAAGCTCGAACATTTTCTGTCGTTTGGAAGAAGATGAGTGGATATTCCCACTCTGACTGTTCAGCACTTCTTTTCTCCGGGCCTCAGTTTTGTCATCTGTCAAATGGACAAACCAGCTCTCAGAAATGAGGTTTACAACCCCAGAGTATATCCCCACTCACATAGCAAGCCCCAGAAAAGTTTGTAAACCCAGAAGGGCTTTTAATTCCGAGTGCTTTTAATCTTCACCCTTGTAAACCTCAAAGGGTGCTTTTATCTAAAGTACTCTGCAAACCTCCAAGTATTTTTTAATCTACCCCAAAGGCCTTGGGAAATCTCACTCTCATAAACTTCAAAATGTGATTTTTCGTTCCAAAGTGCTTTAGGAATCCCTAATGCTTTGCGTCTCTCACCTTTGTAAACTGCTAAGGGCGAGTCTAACCACAAAGTGCTTGTGTGTGTGTGTGTGTGTGTGTGTGTGTGTGTGTGTGTGTGGTTTGCTCAGGCTGCCATAACCAAGTACCACTGATTGGGTGGCTTAAACACCAGAAATTTATTGTTTCCCAGTTCCGGAGGCTACAAGTTCAAGATCAAGGTGTTCATCAGGGTTGGTTCTTTCCAAGGCTGCGAGGGAGAATCTGTTCCATGCCTCTCCCCTAGTTTCCGGGGCGGTCTGCTGAAAATCTTTGGCATTCCTTGAAATGTAGAAAGCATCCCTTCTCCGTCTCTGTCTTCATTTTCACATGGCCTTCTCCCTGTGTGCATTCCCTATGTTCAAAGTTCCCTTTGCATAAGGATACCAGGCATATTAGGTGAGGGCCCACCCTAATGACCTTCATCTTAACTAATGATATCTGCAATGACCCTGTTTCCAAGTAAGATCACATTCTGAGGTCCTGGGGGTTAGGACTTCAACACACAAATGGAGGTGGGGAAGTAGAGCTGATTTGATTTTTGTTTTAATTTAAATCCAAGTTAGTTAACGTATAGTGTCATAATGATTTCAGAGATAGAATTTAGTGATTCATCACTTACACACATATAACACCCGTGCTCATCCCAATGAGTGCCCTCCTTTCGTGCCATCACCCATTTAGCCCATCCTCCCCCCCCCCGATTTGATTTTTGATGCAGGATTCAATCAAGGATCACAGGTTGTGGGGCGTGTGGGTGGCTCAGTCATCGGTTAAGCATCTGATTCTTGATTTCAGCTCAGGTCATGATCTCACGATTCGTGAGTTCAAGCCCTGCATCAGGCTGTGCACTGACGATGTAGAGCCTGCTTGGGATTCTCTCTCCCCCCAACTCTCTGCCCCTACCCTGCGTGCTCTCTCTCTCTCTCAAAATAAACAAACTAAAAAAAAAAAAAAAAAAAAAAAAAAAAAAAAAAAAAAAAAAAAAAAAGGATCACACGTTGCAACTGTAGTCATTCTTTAGTAAAACCAAGAGCTTTTAATCCCAAAGTGATTTGTACATTTCCAACTGCTTTCTAAACCTTAAGAGTAGGTTTAATCCTAAAATGCTTTCGAAACCTCTAAAATGTGCTTTCAATCCCAGAGTAGTCTATAAATCTCAGTATTTTTAACGCAAAAGCACTTGTAAACCCAGTGCTTTTGTAAAGCACAAAATGAGCTTTAAACTCCCAAAGCGCCCTGTAGGTGGGCAAAATGGGTTGAATATGCCAGCTGGGAACTCAGCATCCTGGGGTTGTCACTTGGAGTTTAATAGGTCTCCTTGTTCCTCCTCCCCAGGTGCCCAAGATAGAGGAGAAGGAGGCCCTGGTGCCTGTCCCTAAAGCCATCGACACCTTCCGCCCTGAACCCCATCCCCGAGTCGCCTTCTGGATCATGAAGCTGCCACGCAGGAGATCCCACCAGGATGTTCAGGAGGGCGGCCGCTGGCTCATCGAGAAGCGACACCGCTTGCAGGCCATCCGGGACGGGCTCCGCGAGGGGACCCACGAGGACAGCCTCGAAGAGGGGACCCAGGGATCCTCCCACTCAAAGCTGCCCGCCCGCAAGACCCACTTCCTGTACATCCTCAGGCCCTACCAGCAGCTATAGGGGTGGGGAGGGAGCTGGAGAACACCTGCATGTACCCCCCACCAGACCCCACCCCAAGCTCCATATGGAAATAAAGTTCTTACATCTAGCAGCACTTTCTCCTTTCAGGATCCGTCCCCAGGCCTCAGCCGACTGGGTCATGGCAAGCCCCCTCCCCCCAATCCTAGCCTGGAAAGTGACA